GGGTACGTATAATATTCATCGGATCGGACTTCTATTAATAGCTAACGCAAAAATTCGTTAATAACACTTATTAATAAATCCCGTGACACAATATCTATCGCTATACTTTGATTTTTTCAAAATGAAAAAAAAAAGCCATAAGCAGGGTTGTTAGTGGTAACTTACCATGGTAAGTTACCGCCCATGAATTTTGGTGGTAAGTTACCAAATGCATGCTTGAAAAGTGCTGCAATTATCGGAAGACTTCGTTATAGTAGACAATAGTGTTTATAGTCGACCAAAATTTATCGACTAGACTTAGTGTGTTAACATTGTTGTATAGATTTGATTTGCACAGTACACTGGATACCCCTGTTGCATAACGATAAAAATGCGAATTTTGCATGAATTAACAGAGTTCTGTTCATAATAAAACCCCCTAACAAAATCAACCAATCTTTAAATATTATAATGGCAAAACTTGAATACATTGGTTTTTATATGTGTCGAAAATTCACACGATTAATCCTATATATAGAATTTAGACTAAAGGCAGACGATTGTGCTGTGTGTTTGTTGAACACGAAGATAGCATTTAATGTAGTAGATTTTTAGAATGTCTTTAGAATTAATCAAATATACTGTATGTAATACTAATATCTTAAAATTTAAAGTTTTGGAGTTTTACTTAGCAACCTACTTATAAAGATCATTTTTATTAGTGATTAGTTAAAAAGCAGACTAATGCTAGCATATTCAAAATATTACAACTCAAAATACTTCATAGTATAGCATCTAGAAAATGTATGAAAATATTTTATTATTAAATTTTTGAAATTTTTTGGGATGCATTTTTTTAGCTTTTTTTTTATAGTTAGATTAGAATTTAGGGTTAGAGTTTATATTAAAAGAGTATAAGTAGATTTTAGCGGGGTCTATGGTTTTAAATCGAGACCCCTAATTTTTACAAGAGCAAATAATAATTAAATTAGAAACTATATATTTGATACGTAAGTTAGTTATAATTAGAAAATAAATAGCTTTGATGATTTTAAACTTTTTATATAATAAAAGTGATAATTTTTATAATATTTGTCTATTTATTAACTTAAATAATAACTTTTATTATTTTTTTTAAGCTTATTATATTGTATATATTTATAATTAATTTTAATAAAAATACAAACTTAGCAGATAATAATTAAAAAGAAATAGCAAATATTTGTTTGCTATTAACTAAATAATACTTAAATAATATAATAAAAATATTAGTATATATTGAATTTGTAATTACTAACAAAAATATATAATGTTTTTTGTATAATTGGCTTTTATAACCTAGTTTGTAAAGCAAAAAATTATATTTATAACAAAGTTAAAAAAACTATACTTATTTTATTTATTAAAATAAATAAAAAAAAAATTTTTTTAATATTATTTTTTATTATTATTAATATTACAATAAAAAAACTTGTATTTGGAAATTTTTTAAAAAAAGCTAATAATTTTAGTATAATTCATAAGTTATTTAATTGTTTTAAATATAACGATAAAAAATAGAAAATAATTACGTTTAACTGGAAGGGATTTTCTCTGTATAATATTAGTCAATAAATCGTATTTTAAAAAAACTCTTTTCTTTTACTTTAGGGTTAGGATGCGACCTGAGATTTTATTTAGATATTAGTATATGCAAAATTTAGCAAGTAATTTTTTTTTGTTAGACCAAAAAGTGGTTTCATAGGCAAAATTTTGAGATATCAGTATTTTTTATACAACACATTACACCTGATTCTGCAAATTTATTGGCTAATATTATACATGGAAAATCCCTTCTAGTTAAAATTAGCAATACTCTAAAAAATATAATATAATATTATATAAATTAATTTTAATAGTATTTATAAACAAAAAACTTGTATAGTAAAAATTCCAAATAGTAAGATAGTATAAACTTTTTAACAAATTACATTTATAAAACATGATCTAAAAGAAGCAACTCTTGTTTATAAAGGTATAGGTATATCTAATTTGTATATTAGTAATACTAATTTAATTTAGTAGCTAATTAGATTTGAGAATATCTAATTAGACTAAAGATATAATTTCTAATTTATAATAAATTTCTTAGTAAAAATATAATTTTTTTGACTAGTAATAGAATATAGTATATATAAATTTAATAATTAAATTTGAAATAGTATTAAAAAAGATTTTTAATAATTATAAAAACTATAATATTTTTTTTAGTATTTTTTTTATATTTTTATTTTTTATATAATTTAATTCTTTTTAGATTTTATTTTTCAAATCTAATTTTTATTTGAATTCAATAATTTTATTTGAAAAATAAATTTTTATAGAAGTAAAAAAATTATAAACTTTATTATAATGATTTGAATCTGTAAATAAAAATTTAAAAATTATATATTATTAATTTTTTATATAAGTATAATTAATAAATTAAAAAAAATTAAACCTTTTTATAATTAATTTAGTTACTATAATATACTAATCTAATACATATTTTTATATTTTTTAAATATTCTATAAAGAATAAAAGATTTTAAAAAATATTATAAAAAACAAATTTAAAATAAAATAAAATATAATTAAATAAATAGTTAAATAAATATTTAAATTATAAATTATTACTTGCTTTTAATTATTTAAAGTATTGCTTAAAAAGTTACTATTTTTTGCTTTTAAAAATAAAAGAAATATATAAACACAAACATATATTAGATGTTATAAATCAAAGATTTTTATAAATAAAGATTTTTTTTTTTTATTATATTATGTAATAAATACTAATATTATTAAGATCCAAAACCTGATATTTAAATAAAATAACTTTTTTTTAATTAGATATTTAATTTTATTATTTTGTTAACTTGTTTTTTATATAAACCTTTTTAATTTGAAGTCTAAACAATTAACTCTATAATAAACTAGTAGTTTTTACAATAAAGAATATTAAAAGTTCAATCTATTGTAATTTACTATATTTTATATAATAAACTTAATAATTTGAAAAAACAATTTTGTTATATAATTCCTTTGATGTTTATAATAAAAAATTCGTTATTTATAATTAAAATTTAAAATAGTAATAATTTTGGTTTACTGTATACATAGTTTAAATTATTTATAAAGCACCCATATATATTCTCACGTAATTTTATAGTAATAAAGTTATAAGATATTATAAACTTGTTAAAATTACAATATTACTTATAATAAATTTATATATTTATTATTCAAACTTAAACATATTATAATGAACTAGTAACACAAACCAGCACAAATTATAATAATAAACTAATAATATAAAGCAGCAAATATAAACTAATAATATAAAGCAGCAAATACAAACTAATAATATAAAGCAGCAAATACAAACTAATAATATAAAGTAACAAATTATAGACTTTATATTTAGCAAATCATAGACTTTCTATTCAACAGTTATCTTCCTTCCAGTAGGTTCTGACTTTGGAAGTTTAAGTTTCAAAACACCTAGATCGAACTTAGCAGTTATATTCTCAGCATTAACATTTGAGGGAAATGAAATAGTACGATTAAAGTCTCCATAACGACGTTCTTGAATACGAGTAGTTCCTTCTTTATACTTTTCATCTCGTTCGAGTTTACCTGATATAATGAGAGCATTATCACGGAAGTCTATATTAATTTTATCTTTGGTGAACCCCTATTTATTTTTATTTTATTACAATGGATTGTTAAGTAAATAAAAAATTTTCTATATCAAAAAAAAAGAAGTTTTTAAAGAAAAATATTATATACTGGTAATTCAGCGCAAACAGTAAACTCTTTGTCACTTTCATGGACGTCAATTAAAGGAAGCCAAGAGTTATTGGAGTTATTACGATTACTGCGAACATTTCCACCATATTTAGCAACGTCAAGATCACTCAAAAAACCATCGAATAAATGAGACATGGTGTTCTCTAAGCGACCAAGATCAGGATCTGAACTATGAAATAGTGACATTTTATTTGATGTGTTTTTATTATTAAAAAAAAAATAAATTGCGTTTATTGTTTTTTTTATTCGCGAGTATGTGTTTAAGATGAGAAAATTAATGGTGAAATTGGATAGAAGAGGGATTGCTTTTATATTTTTTAAAAATGAAATGACTAGTATTTTCTTGATCAATCAATTTAATCTTGTAATTATCAATAATTACATAATTTTTCTTCATGACGAGCCGTTAAGTTGACTTTTACATTGA